ATATATTTAAATAACCATCGACATATAGAAAGATTTTTTTATATATAGTAAACAAAAGCCTCTCACCTGACCTTTTGTAAGTTAAATTAAAAGAAATATTTTTTTTCATTGAAATGAGGAATGTTATGTTAAATCTAAAAAGAGAAAAAAAACTTCAGTCCATATGTATGGAAAATCATTTTTCATCAAAAATGTTTTTTAAAGGAAACTAAGCACCAAAATTGACTTTTTTTTTTAGATAATTATTCGAATAATTTATCAATATCTGCTTATTTGTCCGTCTCTCCTCCATTACCCCTTCTCTCCATTTCGTCAAGTGCAAGTCTAGATTAGAGACATGTGTCATACTTAAAGTTTAAAGGTCAATATTATATTATTTAAACAATTATCATAATCATAGTTAAGTTAACTAATTTTAGAAAATCACTCTCCAAATTTGATAAAATACAATATATTCCATACAAAATTTGATATTTATTAATATCATTAATTTCATCATATATTTTAAATATTAAAATTGTAAAACATGAAACGTTTATATTTAATGTGATAAATAATAGTCTTCAAAAACATTTGCATTTAAAATAATGTTATCTTCTCTTTAACAAAAAAAAGAAGATAAAAATATTTATTAAAAAATAAAATAGTACAGTATATTTTTCCACTTCAAACACAATAACCACATTTTCTCCTTGGAATATTTTTTGTATTCACGTTTAATTCTAAAAATCTTTCATTCTTTTATTATTATTTTTTTAATTTTTATTTCGTGTCTTTTATTTTATGGTTTTTTTTCCACAATAATAATTCTTAACTTTTTTGTTTTGTTTCTCAACATAGTATATAGGGATAAGGGTCTGAAAAATACCCAAACTTTGGTCAAATTTGTTGTTGCGATACTAAACTTTCATGAGGATCTATTACCTCCCTAGACTATTTAATACCGTATTTTAAACATATATATTTGCCCACGTGAACATAAAAAATAATGGAAAATTATAAATAGTAATGTGTCCACGTGGGCACATATATACATTTAAAATACACTATTAAATAGTTCAGGGGGTTAAAAATACGGTATTAAATAGTCTAGGGATCGAGGTAATAGGTCCTCATGAAAGTTTAGTATCGCAATAGCAAATTCGACCAAAGTTGGGACATTTTTGAGACCCTTATCCCTAGTATATATAATATTTCAAGAGCAAAGTTTAGTAGTACATAAATTGTTTAGTTGATTCTCACCTTAAATATCATACAATTTAATAATTAAATAAAAAAATATAATATGAAATTAATGATATTAATAAATATCAAATTTTGTGTAGAATATATTGTAATTCTTACCAAATTTGGAGAGTAGTTTTCTAAAATTAGTTGACTTAACTATGGTTATGGTATTTGTTAATATAATCTTGACCTTTAAACTTTAAATATGACACATGTTTCTAATCTAGAAGTGCACTTGACGAAATGGAGAGAAGGGGTAATGGAGAGGAGCCGGATCCGCAAATTTTGATTCAAACTTCTTAAAACAAATAAGATATGTTAGTTTCTAATTAATTTTGTTCTTTACATGGAAACAAGACAACCTTTTCTCTCTATTGACAAGGAAATGACATAGACAATGTGCTTCCCCATTATCATTTTATTTTTCATAATCATTAATGGGTTGAAGGAAAACTTTGATTATTTCAATTATTTAAATTATAATAGTTAACTCATTATTTATCAACTACATTTTCAGGCATCATTTATTAAAAGGATAAAAAAGTTAATTCATATAATCCGTAGCATAGATTTTTGTGGCAATTCGTATTAGTCGCCATGAAAAATTATATTATAAATACGATAAATTTTATACGAAGAATAGACAATATATATATCAATATAGAGAGAAATTTACACTGATAATATCCATTATTTAAATTCACTATAATTTCTCTGTGTAGGATGTTTCTTTATGACTATATTACTCCGAGACATTTTTGGTAACCGGCGATCTTGACTCACGTAATCTTCTTTCATCGATCAATAATTTGGCAAACCTATAAAAATAAACAAATATTTTAATGATTTAAGTTTTATGACATATAGTAACAGTAAAGACTAGCATGTACGTCTTGCCCTCTTAGATCTTATTTATAGAATTATACTGAATATATTACTTTTATTCAATTTATATATGTTAATCACAAAATTTAAGAAAATTGAAGTCTCACTATGAAATTTGACTTTAGATGACTGACCCTTAATAGAAAATTTTCAAGTTTTGCATTCCTACAAAGAAACCAATTGCTGACTCTCCTTCTAATGTTGATATATCTAGAAATGTAGATTTTTTATTCACTCCGTCTATATCTTTGCCTCATCAAATTAAACCCTAAATGAAGAATGATTATTAAGGAAGACCAAATCTAAAAGTCAAAGTTAAGAATATAAAGTTTACCTTAAACAATGCATATAAAGAATCTAGCGTTTGGCCATAGATTTCTAAATATTCTTGCAAATATTATTTGGATGAAATTTCACCATGTGTTTGGCCATAGTATTTGAGAAACATATTTCACTTTTTTAGAAAAATATGATTTATACCCATAAGTTTTAAAAACTATCAAAACTAACCATAAGTTTGTATTACAAGTCAATTGGATCGTTGCAACAAATAACAAGTAGTGTCCATGACACTGGAGCAATGTGGTAGTTTGGAGTGAGTGCAACAAGCATCATTCTATACATCGTGAAGTAGACAAAGCACATGACTTTGTTACCCTGAGCCAATTTTTCATTATTTTCATCAACAACCATATCATCACTTTTATATTCATCGAATATTTCATCACTATTTTGGTGTTTACGTAAAAAATTATGTAATACAATGCAAACAATTACTATAGAGGGTGTTTTTGTAAAAGATAAAAGTTTGGTGTACAATTTTAATTTTTAAAAGATCCCAAATAATGAGATTTGGCCAAAATACTAGAAAAAACTAGTATTTGAGAATTTGGAATATTTGCCAAATAATGGCAAATTGCATGAACAAACACTATTTGCCAAATTTTTCCCCAAATATTACTTGAGAAATCTATGGCCAAACGGATCCTACATGTTGGGGTCATGTCAAACACCCACTACTATTAGTGGTGGTGTTTAAAACAAAGGCAAAATAAATAAATATGTTTTGTAATATTATGTCACTTTTCTTGTGGTAACATATAGTTTATTTTAAACATTATAAATTACATCACTTATTTTAGTTTCAAGATACAAATCTCATATTTTTAAAAACTTATGAAAAATGCACTCTTTCCTCAACATTCCAACATAGGGGGCTATAGCTAGTTTTTATTGATAGTGGACCAGCAAAGGGTCCAAAAGATGCGTAATTGAATGAGTCCAAAATCCATTAATTGTTTCCTTGCTTTTTTTCTTGCTTATCAATCAAAAATAAAGACAAATTGGGCATCACAATAAGACGTGAAAACACTCAATTCCATTTTGAGCATGATATGTGGAATAATTATCTTAAGTTAGATGTATTGAAATTGTTTGGCAGACATGATTCAAGTCCGGAAATATATATAAGATATTTTAGTAATAAAAAATATTTGTCATCCCCTCTCTCTCTATATATATATATTTATTTATTTTTCTAAATAACCATCGACATATAGAAAGGTTTTTTTTAGAGAAAAGGGTCTGAAAAATACTTCAACTTTGATCGAAATTGTTTTTACGATACCAAACTTTATGGAGGACCTTTTACCCCCCCTGCACTATTTAATAGTGTATTTTAAAGGTATACATGTGTCCACGTGGACACATTATTATTTATAATGATGCAATATATATGATGTCCACGTGGGCTCATATATAACTCTAAAATACACTATTAAATAGTGTAGGGGGTAAAAGGTCCTTTCCAAAGTTCGATATTGTTACAGCAATTTCGATCAAAGTTCGGATATATTTCAGACCTTTTTTCCTTTTTTTTTTATATAGTAAACAAAAGCCTCTCACCTGACCTTATGTAAGTTAAATTAAAAGAAATATTTTTTCATTGAAATGAGGAATGTTATGTTAAATCTAAAAAAAAAAAAAAAAAAACTTTAGTCCATAATAAGTAAGGGAAATCATTTTTCATGAAAATGTCTTTTTAAAGGAAACTAAGCACCAAAATTGACTTTGTTTTAGACAATTATTCGAATAATTTATCAATATCTGTTTATTTGCCTTGGCAAATTTTGATTCATTAGACGAAACTATGTATAGTTTATCTCGCAAGATTCAAAGTTCTAAAAACAAATATGTTTCATATTATAATTATGAAGCGTTTTAAATAACTGTTTATAATAAATGCGATAAGATAAGTTAGTTTCTAATTTTGTTCTTTACATGGAAACAAGACAACAATTTCTCTCTATTGACAAGGAAATGACATAGACAATGTGCTTCCCCATCATCATTTTATTTTTCATAATCATGAATGGGTTGAAGGAAATTTTTGATTATTTATTCTAATTAGTAAACTCACTATTTATCAACTATATTTTCAAGCTTCATTTATTAAAAGGAGAAAAAAATTTATCAACTACATTTTCTAGTACACGTTTAAGATGTTGTCAACAAATGTAGCTTTCATATTTTCTAAAATATATGTATACATACTTTGTATTTTGATATATGCGTATTGCTTATAAAGTATAATGCGTACGTGCTAAAGTTATTTTTAATCAAGAATTTATTATTTGATCTGATTCCCCAAAAATAACATTTGACATATCAAAAACATATATGAGATCGATCCACGATAGTCTATTTTTATAAGCATAGATTTTTGTGGCAATTCGTATTAGTCACCATGAAAAATTATATTACAAATACGACAAATTTCACACGAAGAACATACAATATATACCAATATACAGAAATTTGCACTTATAATATACATTATATTTAAATTTAATTTACTTTCCAGACGTAGAATTTTCTTTATGACTATATTACTCCGAGACATTTTTGACAACTGGCGATCTTAACTCGCGCAATCTTCTTTCATCGACTAATAATTTTGCAAACCTATAAAAATAAACAAATATTTTAATGACTCAAGTTTTATGACACAGTAATAGTAATGACTAGCTAAAATACATTCATAATATAAAATTAGTTTAAATTATTTTGTATGGTTTGATTAATTAATTTTTAATATATTAATTTAGTCACACAAAAGAACAAGGGAGGAGTTTTCAAACAACTTTTTGTTGTCAAATAATAGCGTTGTTTTGTTTTAAAACTTCCTACTCTTTTCTCAAAGAGTCAAAGTAATACCTATACCACAATCTATGTGAATTGCTCTATTCTTAATTAAATTAATGTCCTAGAATGAAATAATCCTTAGTAAAAAGTGACCCTCTCTGAACGGAGCTTTATGTGGTGCGAAACTGGATTAGTCAAGCCTTTACGTAGTGCGAATCTGAATTAGTTAGATTTCAAGACGGATATCGATTACCAAACATAAATCAAAATAAAATAATCAAAAACTCTTAATTAATATTTACTTAAACGAATATGTTAAAAAAATACGACAAATAATTTTAAACGGAAGTATTGATGATATACCTCTTAAGGGCTTCTTCATTAGTGCCTCCTCTAGGAATTGGTTCTAAACCTGTTTCCAAATTTACCCTTGAAAGTGGTTTTTTCAATAATTTTTCTCCAATTTCCACTAACCTCTCCAAATTTTCCTTTGTAGCCACATCCACTGAGGCCTCTGTTCCACTTAGTCCATCCTCCTGTTAATTAATTAGGTTCAACAACCAAAAAATAACAAAATACAATAATATATCCAATGTAGTTATATAGTAGAGTCTAGAGAAGCCCCAGAACGCTAAAAGGTGGGGGAACAAGAGTTGTCACGATAGAAAAGAGAAAAAAAAGCATAGAGAGACTATTTTCGATAGATGATACTTACTTGAATTCGAAGGTAACTATCTTCACTATGAAGAGCTTGAAAAACAACAGAATTATGGTAATCAATCATATCAGCACTTGATTGTGTGAATACTTCAAACAATGGTGTGTAACCTTTGTGAAATAACCAATCGACGATACCCCATTTGGCTGCCATGGATGAATTATATACTTGTTCAAATTTTGGAGCTCCTGTCCCTATTGATATTACAAGGAAACGACCATAATCCATTGGTTTTATTGGGAAGAAATCTGAGTTTTCCTTCAATATTTCTTTGCTTACTTCTGATATTGCAATTAAACACTGAAAAATAATAGAGTATGAATTTAATTTTATTGTATCGTCAGTTCATATAAGTTAAATTCTTAGTCGTAATAAAGTGTTTTAGTACGTACGTACCGGATTATTAGCAGCAACGCCACCATCAATGAGATTATGTTCTCTAATATTTCCTGTGTCATCTTCAACTTTGAAATAATGAGCTGGAAGATAAGTAGGAGCTGCTGATGTACTAATACAAATATCGGATAATTTTGCATCATAACGTGCAGATCGTTTCGCCTGCAACAAAAAGTAGGATATGTAAGCAGACCTTACCCCTACCTAATTGTAATAGTCGTCAAGCGTCATCATATTATATAGTTAGCTAGCTAGCCAATAAATAGTAGTCGTGGCTGGTATACATGTGATTATATATGTTGTAAATACTAAGGTTATTTATTGATTATCGAGGACATGCATGGCCTAATTAGGTGGAAGATTAATGGAGGTTGAGGATTTAGAGCGTAGGTAGTCGAGCGGTGTCTTGTTTAATTTCCTTATTATTATTATAACTCTCCTACTATCTTATTCTTCGATTTAACTATTACATGTTGTTTCTTGTGGTTCAGTTATATCGTATTGTTGTTGTTGTTGCTACGGCTCTTTTCTCCATTATTTTCGATATAACTTAGCTTCTTCATTACTATGTTTCCTTTTCAAAAAAACTCTTTTTAATATGTTTCACCTAAGCAAAGGGTATAATTAATTGGAAACAAGATCTCTATCTTCATAAAGTAAGAGTACGATCAATCTGCTTATACGTCATCTTGATCATGATCTCGTTATTAAAATTATACGGAATATGTTGTTAATGTTGGAAAATCTATACCTCATAAGTGGAGAAAATAGTTGGTTGCAACTTCTTGATATCAAAAGTGGGAATAACAACTTTAGTGATAGTATTACTAAGTAAACTATCTTTCAATTTTTCCTTGATGACTTCATGTAAGTATTTCCCATCATATTTTGGTCCTATTAGAGCTTGCACCATCTTCCTCATCGAAGCAAACAAACCACTACATGTTTTTTAAAAATTCAACAAAAAAAATAAAAATTAAAACTTTGTTAGTTACATATTACAAATGAAATTAAAAGATAGAGCGATCAAAATTGTTAAAATATGTACGTACCATTTATTTTGTGGAAAAATCTTTGGACAATGCTCCAAATAGAACGGAATAATATCTTTCGCCGCATAAAACGGACGATTATTTTCATCTGGTGCCGTTAGCATTGCCGTCACGAGGCCACCGGTGCTCGTTCCGGCAATGACGTCAAAGTATTCTGCAAGTCTTGCATCTTTTCCATCAAACTCCTTCATGTAAATTTTGAATATTATTTTATGTCACACGTATGCAAAAATTTAATGATAGTACCACATAAAATCGAACAGAAAGCATAGAGATGTATGCAAGTATAGAGAAAATTAAACCTGAAGTTGAGATTCGAGAAAACTAAGTATGGTAGCTGGAATAATTCCTCGAATACCACCTCCATCGATGCTAAGAACAGTGATGAAATCTCCATAAGTTGGAGGTTGAATTTGAGATGTTTTTCTTTCCATTACTTAATCAAAAGAGGGTATTAAAAAATGCTGTTAAATCAAATAATGTTATGATTTTTTTAAAATTTAATTATCTTATGAAGTAGTTTATTGAACTAGTTTAATTTATGATATTTTTGTTAATGTATAAGGCACTATATATTTATAGGCCATGCTCTTGAGAGACTTGGTGACTTAAAGAGTACAAGATTGACTTATCAAATGAAGAAAATTTCAATAAAAATAATTAAGTAACAAAATTATGGTAAACATGTATTAGCAAAAAGACTGAAGATCAAGAAGTGAAAATTTAACACAATTCTTTTTAATTAATTTAGATAATTTTTTATTCAAATTTCGTGTTTATCAAAAAGATTCTATATTTGAAGACTCGATAACTTCAAAAGGATATAATCTAAAAATCATAAATATTAAATTTTGGATCGGACTCTTGACGGAATGGACCACATCTATCTAAAACTATGTAGCACTTTGTTCAATTTGATTTCTACCTTGTGAGATTATTTTAAAGTTAATTAATATTTCTTATCGTGAAAGAAATGAGTTAAATTAAGAGAAATGGTCAAATTCAAAAATGAAAAATTGTTGACTATGTATGAATCACTTTCTTTCTTGTTCAGTCTATTTTTTTAAAAATATATTTTTTTAATAATTTTTTTAATTTTAACTTTTCACAAGTCATATTTAACATCACAAAATTAAAGGTCATTTTAATAAATTTTACATATCTTCTGTTTAAAATCACAAAATCTTCTTTAGTCTTTAAATTATGTACATATAATTAAAACTGGACAAGCCAATTGAAATAGAAAAAATATAAATTTAAAATTCATTAACTTTGAAGAATTATAGTCCAAAACTCGTAAACTTCAAATTTTGAATCCACCCTAGCGAAGTGGACCACATTCACCTATCTATATGGAGGACTTTGTTAGATTTAATTTCAGCCTTGTAATATTATTTGAGAGTTAATTAATACTTTTCTTATCGTGAAAGAAATAGTTATAGTTACATTGAGAGAAATGATCAATTTTTTCAAAATGAATTATTTATTCTTGCATACAACAATGGAACTAGTCTATGGTACTTCTATCATTGGAGATGAATTTTTCAAAGATTATTTAATTAGTTAAATTGGGAAGTTTGGCATAATTATACTGTTTAAAAGTAGAAAAAATGGTCGTTGATGTCATGCTGACACAGCATAGTTGCCTGTGCTGATGTCAGCGGCCAGAAAAAATGTAGAAAATATTTATGTTGGGATCAAAGTAAGTGAGCATTTTAAGGTAAATACTTTGCTTTTTATAATCATCATTTTCATTTTAATTAGAGGTATCAAATAAGCGGATTAAATTGAATTTAAGAAGATAAAAATAATATATTATTTGATTGTCAATTTTATATATATTAGAATACTTATATACATGACATTTGTATTATTATATAACCACAAGTTGAATTGTTGATCTGTGAATACAATTATATTTGAATACATAAGTACTTGTCAAATTTAAAAAGTTGATTAGGGAATTCAAGTATAGTTGGATACATCAATACTATATTATTGTCCTTTTCAAAATTTTATTTAGAAGATTACTTATACAATTTGATACCCATAAATTGTATCTTTTTTACTCGTTTGTCTAATGTATCCATACTTATACAGTTTGATACCCACAAGTTGTATCTTTTTTGCACGTTTGTCTAATGTATCCATACTTATACAGTTTGATACCCACAAGTTGTATCTTTTTTGCACGTTTGTCTAATGTATCCTTATTTTTGCTTAACAACAATGTTGAAATGTATCTATATTTATTTACATAGATACTTGTATTGTTATATAAGCACAAGTTGAAATGTTGATTTGCGAATACAGTTATATCTAGATAGATAAGTACTATATTCAAGATAAAAAATTGATTAGGGAATACAAGTATAGTTATATCCAACGTATTCATTTTTGTGTTTAACAACAATGTATTCATTGTATTCTATATTGGTGTATTCATTTTTTGTTTAACAACTAGTGTATCTATTGCCATGTAGTTCACCTATTCAAAATCGAAATACTTAACCTTCATTCACAAATTCAACAATTTGCTTACATACAATAACTTGAATTAACAAAAAAAAATTATTAATACCTTTACGACGCCAGAATAAGAAATATGGAGACAACAAGAAAATTGAGTATGATGTATCACAATTTTTGTTAAACTGATAAAGAATATGATCTGATATGTCTTTAAATAAGTACGTAATTTTTAGTTATAAAGTTAATTATGGGAAGTTGCTCATTGTATGGAAGTAATGTAAGGATAGTGGGTTATATTTAGAGTCAATTCCTTATTTAGTTTGTTGTGCTTAAAGATGTGTAAATGTATAAATAAATAAATAAAAACTATACAAAAATACAGTGAAAAAGTGATATAAATTGTAGTCATTTATTGTAAATAACATACTTATAGCTATTGATATTCATTGACCCTATAAATATAGTTATTTTTGTAAGTTGCTCTTATGTTAACAAATAGGTAGATTATTGATCCACTCAAAAATTACTTGTGCTGAAATGGGCTAAAATGTGAATCATTATCCAATTCGTCCAATTCCTACTAAATTTTAATTATTTTGTTTGTTCTTTTATAATTTTTTAGCATCTTATAAAAAATATTATTTTATTATGATAATATATATATATATATATATATATATATATATATATAGGAGATCAATAATTCACTCAAACTTGGACGGATAATATCTTTATTGACTATATTTTTTGCCTTTGATTTTTGACTTTATTTTAAACAAAGTTAAAGCAGAAAATATAGAATGCTATGAAGACATTAGTTTTGTACTAAGAATTACGTAGATATCAAAGAACATATATTATAAATATTGAATGATGATGATCAATACACTTTCACACTAGTACGTAATGATACTACAATTAAATAAATCGAATTTCATAAAGAACTACTCTGCCTATACCTAATATTAGTTTCAAAATTGAAAATTTCATCAGAAATATAGCTAGAAAATTTATACTAACAACAAATATTACTTAAACTCAATTTTTATACGTAAGATTTTTTTGATGACTCATGAATTACTTTGAGGCTTTCTTGATAATAAGTGGCGACCTTGACTCACGAAGTCTTCTTTCATTGACCAATAATGTTGCAACCCTGTCACAAAATTAAAGATTTTTATTAACTTATGAGCATATCATAAATACGATAGATAATTTATGACGAATGTAGTATCCAATTAAAATTATGATGATATACCCTTAAGGGCTTCCTCATTAGTGCCTCCTTTAGGAATTGGTTCTGTTAAACCTGTTTCCAAATTTACCCTTGAAAGTGGTTTTTTCAATAATTTTTCTCCAATTTCCACTAACCTCTCCAAATTTTCTTTTGTAGCCACATCTACTGAGGCTTCTGTTCCACTCAATTCATCCTCCTGTCAATTACAACCAAAAAAATTATTAATAAAATATTATTAAGGTCTTGTGAGTAAATAATATGTTCGTAAAGAGAATGTCACACTAGATGTCCTGCTTTAACTTACTTGAATTCGAAGGTAACTATCTTCACTACGAAGAGCTTGAACAACAACAGAATTATGATAATCAACCATATCAGCACTTGATTGTCTGAATACTTCTATTAATGGATAACCTTTGTGCAATAACCACTCAACAATCCCCCATTTTGCTGCCATGGATGAATCATATTTTTGTTCATATTTTGCAGCTCCTGTCCCTAGTGATATTACAAGAAAACGACCATATTCCATCGGTTTTATTGGGTAGAAATCCGGATTGTTCTTGAAAATTTCTTTGCTTACTTCCGATATTGCAATCAAACACTGAAATATTGTATCGTCAGTGTATATAAGTTAAAATTCTTAATATGATATTGCAATCAAACCTTGAAATATTGTATCGTCAGTGTATATAAGTTAAAATTCTTAATATTAATAAAATATTTTTAGTACGTACCGGATTATTAGCAGCAACACCACCATCAATGAGATGATGTTCTCTAACATTGTCTTTGCCATCTTCAACTTTGAAATAATGAGCAGGAAGATAAGTAGGAGCTGCTGATGTACTAATACAAATATCCGACAATTTTGCATCATAACATGCTGCTCGTTTCGTCTACAACAACAATAACATACTCAATATATTTAGTTTAGTATGAAAATGATAGGATGTAAGCAGATTGTAATAAATTATAGTCATCGTCAAATTAATATATATATGTACCTCATAAGTGGAGAAAATGGTTGGTTGCAACTTTTTGATATCAAAAGTTGGAATAACAACGTTAGTAATAGTATTACTAAGACGAGTGTCTTTCAATTTTTCCTTTACGACTTCATGTAGGTATTTTCCATCATATTTTGGTCCTCTTAGAGTTTGCACAAAATTCAATGTTTCCTTTACGACTTCATGTAGGTATTTTCCATCATATTTTGGTCCTCTTAGAGTTTGCACAATATTCAATGTTTCCTTTACGACTTCATGTAGGTATTTTCCATCATATTTTGGTCCTCTTAGAGTTTGCACAATATTCAATGTTTCCTTTACGACTTCATGTAGGTATTTTCCATCATATTTTGGTCCTATTAGAGTTTGCACAATATTCCCAATTGGAGCAAATAAACCACTGCATGTTTGTAAATTCAACAAAATTTTAATATTTGTTTAGATCATAAATAAAAGGAATTAAACACTAGAAAAAAAGAATTATATATATACCATTTCTTTTGTGGAAATATTTTTGGACAATGCTCTAAATAGAACGGTGTAATATCTTTAGCAGCATAAAGTGGACGATTATTTTCATCTGGAGCCGTTAGCATGGCCGTTACAAGGCCACCGGTGCTCGTTCCAGCCATCACATCAAAATAATCTGCAAGTCTTGCATCGCTTCCATCCAATTCCTGGAAATTTAATACGATTCAGGGTTCAGGATTTAGGGTTTAGTAATAACTACAGTATTAGCTAGCTAGGAACATATATAATATGTACGTGTACATATATATAAAAGAAATTTTGACCTGAAGTTGCGATTCAAGAAAACTAAGGATGGTAGCTGGAATAATTCCTCGAATACCACCTCCATCGATGCTAAGAACAGTGATTAAATCTCCATAAGTTGGAGGTTGAATTTGAAATGTTTTTCTCTCCATTTATAATTAACTGATATTATAATCAAAAGAGTGTAACAAAGTTTGGACAAATAGATATGTTAAATTTATGAATTGTGTGTATTATGAGAATATTTTTTAAAAGGAAACAATTAGTGTTTAATTTATAGGCCTCACTTACCTCACCCTTGAGAGACTTGGTCATATATCATCATGATGACTTAATGGGTCAAAGATTGACTTATAAAATGAAGAAATTTTCAATTTAAAGAAAATTCTGGGAAAATATGTAAGCAATAAATAATAAGGCTAGAAAGTAGGTTTTATTCATTAAATTGGACTCAGAACAACAATAAACATTTGAATTTTCTTGTAGTCATTAATTTTTTTTTGGTTATTATATGGACCACTTCAAAAGGTTTGATTTTTCTAGAGATTTTTTTTTTGTTTTGTTTTCACTCGGTTGGTATTCGATACTCACTCATTAAGTCTATCTAAATTTGATCGTACATAGGCAATTAAGATACATATTCAATGTACCCAGGGGCGAATTTATGTACTAATTTTGGGTCACCCGAACCCGTGGTCATCCGACTAAACTCGATATATTACTTCTATAATTATTAAAGAATATATTAAATTAAAACTTGTTGAACCCGTTCTCAAAATGGCTGGATGGTTCACTGGTACCACTGCAAGATTTCAACTCACAGGTCGCAGGTTCGATCCCAGGCAGCTCCAATTCGCTTCAATTTATTTTTATTAACTAAAAACACATTTTTCATTAAAAAAAAAGAAAGTAAAAGCTAAATTCTGAAAGTTTAAAAGTCAAAAGACTTCAAAAGTTTCCTTCCCACACACTTTCCAAGTTCCAACAATATTTTTCCTCTCTTCAAATTTGTTTTCTATTTTCCACACAAAGAAGAAGTTTCAAGTCTCCAACTTCAAGTCAAGAATTTAGATAAATCATCATTGTCAAAGTTTAAGGTAATTTTAGTTTATGATTTCTCTTTTTAATAAACAAACTAACAAGATAAATAAATAAATATATATATATATATATATATATATCACTTAAATTTTAGGGTTTTCATATAAAAAAATCTTTGTCATTACTTATAATAGGAAATCATCAATAGCTAAAGAATTGATTATCTCAAACTTACATATTTTGCGAATGTAACTTGTAGGGAATGTGTTTCATATTATATTATCAATTTTGAAGGGTGTGATTCCTTTTTTTAATGTGAAAGGGGTGTGATTCCCTTTTTTTTTTTATATGTGAAAGGGGTGTGATTCCCTTATTTTTTTTAAATGTGAAAAGGGTGTGATTCCTCTTCTATGTGATTGCAAAAGAGGCATAAGTCCTCTTTTTATTATGAATGTGTGATTTTCTTATTGTTAAATGTGAAAGGGGTGTGATTTCTCTATTTTAGTTAGATTTGTAAAGATTGTGATTCCTCTATTTTATTTGAACTTTCAAGGGTGTGATTCCCTTATTTTTTATTGTGAAAGATATGCGATTCTCTTATTTTATTTTAAATTTGCTAGTTAAATTTGTGACTAATTAAGTTGAATAGCATTGGTGAAGAATTTTTGAATGGATGTTTAGTTTGTAAGATAGAGCGGAAGATATTTGAAAATGTAAGTAATGATGCTATTATAAATCGTTTTCAAAATATGAAGTCTCGTCGAGTACAATTGTAAACTGATGAAATTTTTTGTGGTAATGTAATTTTTATGTATTGCTCGCTTAGTTATTATTATTATAATTTTTTTGATATTATCTTTAAAGCAATGGTGCACCCGTTTTCTTAAAATCCTGGATTCGCCTCTGAATGTACCTATATATTCCCTCTGTTCCAATTTATATGACTCACTTTCCTTTTAAGTCAGTCCCAAAAAGAATGACACATTTCTATATATATAAAGTAACAATCTAACTATAAAATATTTATTTTACCCTTAATAAAATGATTTACAGCCACACTAATTTCTATCATTCATTTTGGACCACAAGTTTTAAAAGTCTTTCTTTCTTTCTTAAATTCCGTATCGAGTCAAAATACCTCATATAAAATGGAACGGAGAGAGTAAAATTTAATGGCAATGATAGAAAAGGAGAAAAGGAAATTCAAAATTGGGAGGACAATTTTGAAAAATGAACCAAGCAAATAAAGAAAAAATATTTTATTGAACGCAAGAGAGGACACAAGGGTGGCCCCATATAGAAACAATAAGACAATTGTGATAGAGCCAAAATTTTCAATAAGGAAGAAATAGACAGACGAAGTAGTTGAAGAGAGTTAAACATCTACAATATATATTTAAAATATTATTTTAATTATATATAAATAATATAATTTTTCGTCGAACGGGATTCGGATGACGCAGGGCTCCGCCACTGCTAATAATTATTGCATAATATTATTCACTGAGGTTAGATGCACGCATATATTTGAGTAATTTTAAAATAATATAGTATATTTTTTATATTTCTTTTTATGAAAAGGATAGAAGCATTTCTACATGTTTTATTTCGTTCGAAAATATTTACATAAGGACTAGTTTGTAGTTACTTAAATATAGTACGTACTAAATTTGGTGTTAGGCATTTATATTTCTAAATACTCCCTCAGTTCATTTTTACTTATCACATTTTGACTTGGCACACTTACTAAGAAAATAGATATTTTACCATACAATCTCCTATTAAATGATGTCTTAGAAAATGATTTGGAAAATAAATATTTAATGTTGAGGGTAAAATATAGAAAAAATATTTATCTTTTCTTGACATGTCAAAAATAACAAGTAAAAATGAAAATTTATTTTAGAAATAAACAACAAGTAAAAGTGAACGGAGAGAGTAATTTCTAAAAATATTTTGTCAAAATCTGATATCTCAAATTTGTAATTAATCAATCATGAAAAATCGTGTTATAATACATTTCTCAAGCAAGTCAGTTAGAAAATAGAGAAACTATTTTTATTTATTTATTTTTAACTAGAACGTGTCGAGAACGAGCTATTTATTTTTACGTAAGTCCTTGAGTAGAGTTGGCACAAAAAAAATGACTTTGTGTTACAATCATCATATATAATTTGTGTCAAAATCACTAAATTTATCGAATTGACAACTTCAAGGATAAATTCACTTTTTGTTATGGTTATTATATATAGTGACATATTCAATGTTTTCTGTCGAGACCCAATATGTGTGGGAGAAACAAGAAAAAGCTTTACATGCATGATCCGATATATTATAAATATGATCTTTTTATTAGATTTGTCAAATAAGCGCATTAATTGAGTTGATTAAGACATATTAGTTTTGTACTAATCACCTAGATATCATCAAAGAACTGATAATTTACATAAATATGTTATTATATGGAATGATATTGAATGAATACACTTTTACACTAGTACAACAAGTAAGTAAATCAAATTTCATAAAATAATACCCTATGCCTAATATTCCCTCCAAAATTGGAAATTTCATTGGGAACATAGCTAGCTAGGAAATTTATATCGACAATATATATTACTTAAACAACTCAATTCTTATAATATGTAAGATTTTTTTTTATAATTGCATTACTTCAAGGTTTTCTTGATAAGTGGTGATCTTGATTCACGAAGTCTTCTTTCATTTACCAATAATGTTGCAAACCTATCACAAAATTAAAGATTTTCATGAGTTAACTTATGACATAACAATGTATATACAAATATTCTAACAATTTAGACAATATAATAGTAAAGACTAGCTAAGATACATTAATGATAAAAATATTATTTTAGATCAATTATATTAATATAAACATGTTACTCATAAAAGAACAAGGCAGCACTTTTCAAACACCTTTTTGTTGTCAAATAAGTGACAACGTAATTTTGTTTTAATGACATACTTCCTACTCTTTTCTCAAAGAGTCAAAGAAATAATGCTCATCAAATTATCTTTGTTATGATTTTTAAAAATAGTTATCTCAAATTATTTATTATTTTAAAATTTTGATATAATAAATGATAAGAAAGACTATAATCACATCTATCAATAGAATAAACATTTAATGATGAGATATTGTATATTAAGATAGAAATAATCGTAAAGTAATATCTCTCAAATACGATAGATAATTTGTGACGGAGATAGTATCAAATTAAAATTATGATGAGATACCTCTTAAGGGCTTCCTCATTAGTGCCTCCTCTAGGAATTGGTTCTGTCAAACCTGTTTCCAAATTTACCCTTGAAAGTGGTTTTTTCAATAATTTTTCTCCAATTTCCACTAACCTCTCCAAATTTTTCTTTGTAGCCACATCTACTGAGGCTTCTGTTCCAATTAGTTCATCCTCCTGTTAATTAGGTTCAACAACCAAAAAATTTATTATTAATCAAACATTATACAAATCAAAATCCTTTCATCTATTCTACTCGTATTATTAAGGTCTTCCGAGTATATATATATATATATATATGATATATAACACGTTCATCAAGACGTACGTCCTATTTTAATACTTACTTGAATTCGAAGGTAACTATTTTCACTACGAAGAGCTTGAAAAACAACAGAATTATGGTAATCAACCATATCAGCACTTGATTGAGTGAATACTTCTACTAATGGTGTAGAACCTTTGTGAAATAACCAATCTACAATCCCCCATTTGGCTCCCATCAATGAATTATATTTTTGTTCACATTTTGCAGCTCCTGTCCCTAATGATATTACAAGAAAACGACCATAATCCATTGGCTTTATTGGGAAGAAATCTGGATTGTTCTTGAATATCTCTTTGCTTACTTCCGATATTGCAATCAAACCCTAAAAAAAAATTAATAAATTGTCAGTACATATAAGTTAAATTCTTAATATTAATAAAGTGTTTGAGTACGTACGTACTGGATTATTAGCAGCAACGCCACCATCAATGAGATTATGTTCTTTAACATTGCCTTTGCCATCTTCAACTTTGAAATAATGAGCTGGAAGATAAGTTGGAGCTGCTGATGTACTAATACAAACATCCGATAATTTTGCATCACAACATGTTGATCGTTTCGTCTGCAACGAAAAAATCAACATTCAGTACAATAACAACATATTTAGTGTAAAAAGGTACGTAAAATATAGTTAGAATGGGAAATATGTACCTCATAAGTGGAGAAAATGGTTGGTTGCAATTTCTTTATATCAAAAGTTGGAATAACAACGTTAGTAATAGTATTACTAAGGTAAGTATCTTTCAATTTTTCCTTTACGACTTTATGTAGGTATTTTCCATCATATTTTGGTCCTATTAGAGCTTGCACCATCTTTCCAATTGGAGCAAACAAACCACTGCATGCATATTTGTAAAAACTCAACAAACAAATTAAACGATTGTGTATATATATATATATAGGGATCAAAATTGTTGAAATATGTATATACCATTTCTTTTGTGGAAATATTTTTGGACAATGCTCTAAATAGAACGGTGTAATATCTTTAGCAGCATAAAGTGGACGATGATTTTCATCTGGAGCCGTTAGCATGGCCGTAACAAGGCCACCAGTGCTAGTTCCAGCAATAACATCAAAGTAATCTGCAAGTCTTGCATCTTTTCCATCCAACTCCTGCAAATTTGACATGCATGCAAAAAGTTAAAAGTCATAAAAAGAGTGCGCGCATGCATTAATAAGCTATGATAAAACGTAACACACTAGGGGTGTGTTTGGTATGAAGGAAAATGTTTTCCTAGAAAACAAGTTGATTTTTGACTTATTTTCTCATGTTTGGTTAGTGAGTAGAAAATATTTTCCGAAAAAGATTTTTAGTATTTGATTTATGAATGAAAAATATTTTTGAGAAATATCTTTTATTTTTACTAGAGTAGAAAATAATTTTTGAAATTGAAAATAGTTTTTAAAAACAAACTTAAATTTTTTTTGGGGGGTGGGGGGTCGTAGGGGGTCGTAGGGGGTGAGTGAGGGGGGGCGGGGTCAAGGGTAGGGGTGAAAAATTGAATTTTTGAAGTTGAAAATATTTTTTTAAAATAAACTTAAAATATTTATTTTTGGGGGGTGGTGGTAGGGAGTGGGGTGGGTGGGGGGGCTGGGTAGGAGGTGGATGGGGAGTCGAGGGTAGGGTGAAAAAATGAAATTTTGAATTTGTAAATATTTTTTAAAAACAAACTCAATTTTTTTTTTTTTTGGGGGGGGGGGGGGGGGGGGGGTGATCGAGGATCGGGATGAAAAAATAAAAATTTGAAGTTGAAAATATTTTTTAATTTTTTTTTTCTTTTTGAAGGGGGTTGGGGGCTGATAGGGGGTTGATGGGGGGGGGGGGCGAGGGTAGTGGGCAGGGGCTAAAAAATTAAAAAATTGAAATTAGAAATATCTTTTAAAAATAATTTTTAATATTTTTTTGGGAGGGGGTGGAGGTAGGGTGAGGGTGGGGTAAAAAAATTGAATTTAAAAACAAGCGTTAAATTTTTTTATTTTTTTTTGGGGGGGGGGGGGGTGGTTTGAGGGTAGGGACAAAATAAATTGATTTTTTCAACAAAAAAATAATTGTAATTTGAAGTTGGAAGAGAGTTTTGGAAAATGTCTTCCTTAAGTTTTGAAGGGAAGTCATTTTCCTTAAATTTGAGGAAAATGAGTTGATTTGGAAAACATTTTCCAAAACATTTAGCCCAACCAAACATGAGAAAATTGAAACATTTTCCGGAAAATGTTTTCCTTCATACCAAACACACCCTAGGTCGTGAGACTTTTCCAAAGAAATATTTCTATTATTAACTGACGGATCGCGATCATTATATGTATATATAATTTACCTGAAGTTGCGATTCAAGAAAAGTGAGAATGGTAGCTGGAATAATTCCTCGAATGCCACCTCCATCAATACTAAGAATAGTAATGAAATCTCCATAAGTTGGAGGTTGGATTTGAGATGTTTTTCTCTCCATTTGTAATGATTTAATTAATAATCAAAAGAAGGTAAGAAAACTTTATTCTAAATGAATAATGAAATGTGTGTATGTATTATGAGAATATTATTGAACTAGTTTATTTATGATATCCTTTGCAATGTACAAGGGAACTTATTTATAGATCCCTTGATGACTTAATGAGTCAAAGATTGACATATCAAATGAAGAAAATTCTGGTTAATTATATTATATATAATAAGTACAAAGTATCATGAGCTAAAAATGAAATTTAACACGTTAGAAAATGGGTGTTTAATTTATTCATCAATCAAAAAAAAAATGGTTTCAGATCAGAACAACAAATAAAAAAATGGAGTATTTGATTTGTCTTGCGGTGAATATATTTCAGGTTCAGCACGCAAGTTAAAGCCGCCAGCTAAAAGTATTACTCCATTTTACTTGTACTCGTAAAGTTGTGCTCAGAGGATGTATCATTTAAGGTCAGAACTAAGATAACTTTGATTTAAATTAGATATTTATAAAATAAATTATTTGATACATATGAATTATTATTTTAATTTGCCCTGACTTCTTTACTTTGGCTATTAGGGGCGGCTTAAATATATTTATGGCCTAAAATCAAATTCGAATGGAGGTCTTAATTTTTTTTATGAAGTTTATTATAAGTCAATCCTTATAATCTTTTTTCGAGACATGATATATTCTAGATTTGCCTAACTTCTAATAATTGTTTCCTCTTATATGAAAAGTTTATATTTTCTATAAATATTGCTAATTTTATTTATTCAAAGAGCTATTTAGAACTCGTAAATTTAAAATCCTGAATCCATCTCTAACAAAGCATCACAACTTTCTAACTATGGAACACGTTAGTAGACTTGATTTCAACCTTGTGCGATTATTTGAGAGTTAATTAATACTATTTCTTATCGTGAAAGAAAAGAGTTGAACTGAGAGAAATGGTCAAATTGAAAAAGGAAAAAAAAGAGAAAAAGATATTACTTTCTTGTTGCATACAACAAGAGAACTAGTCTATGGTACTCTCATCATTGAAGATGAATGTTTCTAATTATTTAATTGGTTGAATAGAAAGTTTGGCATAATTTTACAATTCAACGTCGAACAAATAAGTTTACAATTCAACGTCGAAACTGAAAAATTGCATGTCCACAGTAATAACATTAAAGATATGTCATCTTATAGTAGTTCATAGTGGTACTATTGCAAACACTATGATTTTCCTACTAAAAAGAGTAAAAAATGTTTCTTATTTCCAATTAAAAGAATAAAAATGAGGAATATAACTTCCCCATAAAAGTAGGAAAACAAACAAATTTCATACGTTACATTTCAAGTTCTTTATCTCCTCACCCACCTGCCACTCTCCAATCCCATAAGATTTTGCTAGATTACATATACTATTTGATTATTTTCTTGAATAATTATCGAACACTTAAAATTAAAGTAAAAAACTTACTTGTTTCTCGAGAAAACTATTTTCCTTCATACAAACACACTTAAATTCAAAGGGGTTAAGTAGATAACCATCATTTCCAAAAGCTTCACAAATAAACTTTGGATGAACACAAGCAGAAGGAGCAAAGCTCTCTTAAAGGACTCCTACAAGCAAATCGTAACTCGTAAGGTCGCCCGTTAAAGAAATTTTAATGGTCCTCTGTATTGAGTGAGCCTCTTGATACAAGGGTCTAGCACATCAAAAACATCAATTTCAAAACTGAACTCCCAGAATAAGAAATGAATCACCAATAACAAACGGGGAATTTTGGGGCAGCGGATTGAAAATCAACGTATTGAATGTATGCTAATACTTGCCACCAATTATTTGCCTGTAACAGTGGATTGAAAAATTGTCCAGAGTTTGAAACTGAAGTGCACTTGTTGGGGCCGGCTAAATTTGCATCTCATACAAAACAGAGAAACGGGGGATAAAATTATGTTAACTTTACCGGAAGGAAATCATGCCGTTATCAATTCACTGAGAACAGAACATGCAATGTTGAGCTTCTAGAAAGATGAGGAGAAGCTGAACTGCACACCAGTCTTCCCTCGGTCATGCTCTTGCTGCTTCAGTATATAGCAGTAATTAACCTGGTGATGGAATCAAATAGTCAGAAATGCCCAGGAACTCGTATGCATTTTTCAAAAAAAAATTAAGTCCACTATCATCATGTAATTTCGACATTTATCAAACTACATTTATGTGTCTGAACCTCTGACACCAATTTCAAATTTAGAAAATCATTGAGCCAAAAGAAAAAAGCGTAGAAACCGCCAAAACATGTTGTTGGGCATATTGCAAAAAGTGCAAAGCGCTTTTGAAGGGCATGCTTTATTGGAGAAAGGCACAAATGAACAAATAAAATGCATATAGGTGCATGAGATACAAGGAAAGGAACTTTTATTGCATGGTAAAGAAACTAAAAGAAAGTTCAGAAACATATATGGCGAAGGAGAAATTTTTGAATCTGAGAACAACTTTTATAGCGAAGAAGAAAAATCCACAAGCAGATCTTCAACATGGATAACTTACCTCCATTCGGAAGAGCTTGGTCGGTACAATGACACCAAATCCAGCCGAAGCTCGGAATGATTCTTTGAATTTCTGTAAAGATAGATCTTTATACGCATTTTCCGTCAATTTATTCAGGCTTCCGGTACAAGCAAAAGCATGGCCATGAATCCCAGCTTCTCTCAATACCCGCAGTGGTAGATCAAAAGAAAGGTCTGCAAAAGCAGTAACCGCAAGGTCTCCTCCCACGAAATCCATTGCAGAAGATGCATCAGAGCTCTCATCAGTGGAATTTTCTGTAACTTGCCTTCTAGGTTCAGCAGGGCCCAATCCCCTGGTCTTAAAGCCCAACAAAGATGATGGGCCACCCAGTGCACAAACTGGAGAAGAATTACCACCCAGGAAAAATTTCTCAGGTAAATAGGTGGGACGACTTAAGAACCCACTTCCCCATGGAACAGTTACACCAGCGGAAATTCCAATGTTGAAAGCAGCATTATAAAATCCCAGAGGTAAAGCATAGCGGAAGTCCAACTCCTGTTCAGAAATCCATAAGTTCTGTTATACTGTGATTTTGATATTTCAGAAGCATATATAGGTTCAGAATCAGACTGTCATATTGGCGGGAAATATATGGCTATGGTATGAATAGTTACCAGGCAAGATAGCCAGAACGAGTGAGATACAAATTACATCTAAATTAATAAAACAGAACGGGTAGAAGGAAAACTGCAGTTAAATCTAACTGCTCAACATCAATATAAACCTGGATATAACACTACTGACAGAAGTTCAAAAAACAACTTAAAGAGGTTTCAGCCACAGAGACGGCAAAATCTACTTTTGGGGGAAAAAAAGGGAAAAAGGGATGAAAGACATAAAATAAGAAAGTGAACTGTAAGAACCTGACGGAGAAAGCGTAAACCCCGATGATCTGGTAAGAGGCCACCAATTTGAGAAGACGACAGAAAGGCATATCCTCGGGTTGGTCTTAAAGGAGAATTTCTCCTATCAATTTTGAATGTATACTTCAGAGCCGAAATTAAGCTATGCCCAAGCTGTCTCCTCACTGCTCTTGATGACATTTGTGATGGGTCAGCCAAGGTTCGCCAAGCGAGACTGTAGGACAAATCATGGCTTCTGGATGACAGTAGGCCAAGAGAAAGTCCCAAAGCTCGTTCTTTATACGAGGTGAACTTCAGCCAATCTTGGGAAAGAAGAGATAATCGAGCTGTCACAGGGGTGATCAATTTTTTGAATCTGGGCAGAGACACACCAGCACTGACCTCTGAAGTCAGGTCCAAGCCATAGGCCAAAGACCCATCCCATATATCCCCATAACCAAACAAGTTTTTCAGCTTCAAGGAACCTTCCAGTGACCAAGCTCTAGCCTACAGAAGCAAATTAAAGTTATAATCAAAATCCAAGGAAAAAACAGCAAATAATGTAAGCATGTTGCTTCTATAAATCCGAAGCACATTTACAGCACCACGTGACAGAACCCAATATTTTGTTCACCAATAGCAGGGTAACAAAATATGGTCTATGCTAGTTCTTAGTTACACATGCAAACTGAAGTGAAGTTTTTCCCTAAATAGCACATAGTGTCACACTCAACTATGTATGCACATCCTCAACAGTCGTTGCAGTTAGCTAGCCCCAATGACATACTGTCAATCTTCTCTTCTTTTCCTAATTTATCTTTAAACACAGCTGAAGACAAGCTTAAAGATTCCAGGTGTATTCTCTTTTCCCAACTTAAAGCCGTAACTTTTACTTCTATATAGATGACATTCACAACAAATATCATACTTTTAACACCACGCTCATGTGTGTTTGCATTATGTAGCCAATGCAAGGTGAACTTCAGTACTAGCTTTGCATTTTCTTCACCCCTTTGGAGTATGCTACCTTTCATTCTGTTAATGGATAGTAAATCCACCTAATATAACTATGGCTTAACTAATTTCCACAACAATTTCTTCTAGTTATTTTAGCAATATTTTCCCAGTGTAATACCACTATACCAAGTGAATGAAATATCTTTAATACACCCCAATTCTTATGAGATTCTCACTCTTTTTTTTCTCCCTTTTTTTGCTTGACATACTTCCCATTTTAGATGTCCTAAAATAGTTAACTAAACATTTAAATCTTGAACTTTTGATGTGATGCTTTGTCTATCATATTAACTCTTCAGCTATCACTTGTATTTTTCTTTCACTATCACACCTATAAATTATATAAATCAAGTTGTTTATAAAAATAAACTAGTCAAGTTAACATCTTACACTCCTTGACCAGTTAAAATAAGTCATATAGAATGGCTTTGAGGGAATTTAAAACTAGTCTCTTCCAAGTTAACTTTATTGGAAGAGGATCTGTGAGGACATAGAAAAAAATGTAGTAACAGCTTTGACCAAACACAAGGAGATGTAGTTGTGGTACCAGAAATGCAAAAGTGACCAACAGAACATTATCAGGAGAGATCTCTGAG